TTATTGTATACATTATTATCTTATTATATTATTATATATATTATGTCCTAATAAAATACTCGCTTGCACATGCACCTTGTTTGAATTGCATACAACCAAAAATAATTAATGGGTCTTTATGTCCAAATAGTTTTGAAAATTGCAAATAGTTACACTTTTTTAATTAATTTTTTCAATTTGTACCCTTTTTCCCAAATAGTGACACATTTTTTGCTGGTCATTTTTCCGGGTCACGACGACACACGTAAGGGTAAAAGTGCATCGCGATTTAGACAAAGTCTCATTAATTTCTATCCCGAGTGTACCGCTGATCAATTGTAGCGCTACATGGATGGCCACATGTTCTTAATATTTAGGAACAAATCATAAATATGTTAGTGATTCGCTCACAGAGAAAGTTGTTTACATAGAGCAATATTAACAAATTTTCGAGACACGGTCTACTTTAATGATAAGAATGCTAAAAAAGTTAATTTGCTTCAAGGGTTAATATATTATAATTAATTAATGCTTATCCAGATGAGTTGCGAGGAGGCGAAACTCTTGAAAGTAAATTTCCTTCGTGATTTTCACAGGACGTTCCTCTGGGGACGATGGAGGTGAGATTGATGCACTTTACTCCTGGAGGCTGAAATAAACATCGAAGATTAAGTTTTTCTTTTACGAATTTAAAAGATGCGTTCAACCCCGCCAATAATTTCCAGGCAAATTTTTTTTAGAAAAGCTCTTCGTAATTTTCAGGAGATAAATCGCATATTCGTGACGATCCTTGGTCAGAATTTATTATGTTGAAATGAAAAATTACTGCACGCTTCAGAAGCACAACAATGAGATAGAAGTAGAAGATAGCAACGCGTAGGAATAAGACATACACTCGTAAAATGAATTGTTCATATTTTCCAATATTTTCTTAGCAAAAACGCGTGAAATTAAGGGATGTAAGACTACTATATTGCCCGTTTACTTTGCCAAACTGGGTCAGGATGACCCACACAAGCGCCAAGAGCTCATCGCTAGTTGGACAAAGTTTTACTGTTTTCAAGTAGTGTAGATTAGAATAAGGATGCAACTGTAATACCAAAATACTGAAAATTACTCTCTATAAACAACTGTATAAATATGTGGCGAATATCATTTATAATTTGAGAACTCAGCACGTAAATTTAAAGTATTATGATCGTATTAATTATAGTATTAAAATTAAAGTGTTAAGTATTATGTACAAATTATTATTAAGTACAAATTATTATGAGTATTATGACCGTATAATAATTATTTGTTTATTTGAATCCGTATTTATCTTTGTTATTCTAAAAATTTCTGAGCTCATCTTTAATTTTCTTTATTTTTCTTAACGTATTTTTCTCAATTGTTAGTCAGACTTAGGAATTGAACAAATGGTTCTTCGGAGAAGGACGCGTCAGTCGTTAGATAGAATATTTCGATAGGAGTTAGTCAATTAGTGGAAGCCGAATGTGGATGTCATACGTACACAGTGTAATTAAGTTCATGAGTTCACCGTCAGAAATTATTGTGTCTTGTTTATATCCTAACAAGGCAGAGTACTAACATAACTATACGATTACATAGGTTTTTATAAAGTGGTAGCCACGTATTAATTGCTGTAGCGTGTGCGCCGCGATATAAATTGGTGCCGTAACCATTGCCTGAAGTGAGAGTTATGTCAGTACCAGTAGACCTTTAGAAAACAGTTAAAGCCAGGTAAAATTAAAGCAGTACTATTTGGTAATTTTTTATTAGTGTTTTGCGTCTTAACACTCTGTATTGCCAGCGTATATTTTTCCATCAATTTGTGTACATTTCATCATGGCGGAGTCCCTTGACGTAGTCAGACAGCATCTGGAAAAGAAGAAGAGGATTGCATATTAGAAAACTTGAAGCATTTTGATAAATTTATGGTAGGAGTAAAAACAAAACGGGCAGTATTTCCACCAATACTAGAGACCAGCTACTCCGTATTAATGCAAACTTTGATTTAGCAGTACGGGCACTTGAAGAGCAGCAGAAGAAACTAAAGAATGAAGAGGAACGCGTAGCCAAGGAACTATCCCAAAGAAGTGGAGAATGGAGATGCAAGAAAACTTCAAAAAAATCAGGAAATTCTGACACTGACTCGACCAGCAACCCAACGGACACGCTAAGTGAAACTACGAGCAGCGAAGATGGCATACCAAGCAAGAAAACTAGCTAACCCCAACCGAAGATGAAGCAACGCAGACGAAAGGACACATTCACGCAGTTGATTGAAACAGTAAGTAAACTTGACATGAGAAAGACGCCAGCATTCTCTAACTTTGATTGATGAAGATTCAGGTACGAGTTTGAAAGAGTATCATAGAATGTTTGAAACTTATTTTCGGGAGAATTTCAAAGGAATACCGTTGTTTTGGATAGGAGTTGGAAGCCAAATTACACGGAGAGACGCTACGAGCATTCAAATCTGTAAGGTCTGTCGGCGACACCTACGACAGTCTCACCAGGAAATCGGTCAAGTGGTATGACAACGAGAAGCTGGCAAGAAGAAGCAAAACCAAAATGCAATGTACATGAGTGTACATTGCATTCACGAGTTTACCAAAGCAATGTACATGAGTGGTGAAAGTTTTTATTTACTGACAACCAGATTAGATAAGCTATTTAGCGTGGCCTTTCCTAGGAAAGACATCCAGACGAGCAATACACTTCGAGAGAAGTACATATCTTTTGTTACTCTTGAATGCTAAAGGAATAGTTTGGAACCAAGTAATGAACAGGAAAGTAGAGAATCGTAAAATGAAGTGGGACGACCTGAAAAAAATTAGCTAGTGGGTGTGATGTGGAGAGAAATGAAGTGAAAACCACCGATACGGAGAACATCCTTATAAATGTCGGACTGTCCAACAAGCTGAGTAATTCAGCGAGATGGAAAAGTGCAAAGCCCGCTAACCAGATGAGATATCGACGCAACTTTACTAAACCACCTCAGCAACTTATGGATAGGAATACAACGTGTGATTATTGTGGAAGGATTGGACATGTGGAAGCTAACTGCAGAAAAAATTGGATTTGTGTTTTTCTTGTGGATAACCCGACCATTTTCATTACAACTACTCGAGGAACTTCAGGCGTCAACCACAAAACCAGAAGTACAACTCGCAACCACGAGCATCAAACTATCACACAAGAACAGAGTTCAACAGGAATCCTCAACGATACTCCAGCCAGCAAGATCTTAGAAGGCCCCAAGTTGCAAATCATCCTCAACAGCGTAGACTGTCGGGGAAACTAGAACGCTCCGGCACAGCTGGAGGAATGTCTGGGGCAGTACGTAGAAGACCTCCAACCACTCGAGACATCATATGAACCCATGGCGTTATCGCTTTGCGGCATTGACATATGAGCTTCAAGATGTATTCCAGACGCCGTATGTTCAGCATCGACAGCAACCTGTTCAGCATCGACAGCAACCCGTTCATCCTTCGCCTCAGCAACCCGTTCATCCTTCGCCACAGCAACCCGTTCATCCTTCGCCTCAGCAACCCGTTCATCCTTCGCACCAGCAACCTGACCAACATCAACCACAGCAAGCATCTCGACAGCAATCCCTTCGATCTAAAAAGCAGCAAGACATCCTAGGTGATTTAGCAAATGCATCTGACAGGATTGAGGTGAGCACATCTCTGGTTGAACAAGTAGACAAGCATTTGATCCCAAGTGTTACAAGTGTTAATTTATTGAATTTGTTGCCGGGAAAAATCGATTAAAATCCCGTTCAGTGTTAAGGATTGGAAACTGGGTGCATTAGTTGATAGTGGAGCTAGTGTGAATATTATTAAGAAGAGCATTTGTGATGTGTGTGAAGGGGTTCTTGATGAAAGGATCAAAAATGACATCACGGGTTTAGGAAGTGCCAAGGTAAAAACAATTGGTAGGACTAATTTAGAATGTGAAGCTCCAGGATTAGGAAAATTTATTTGTGAATTTGATGTCCTTCCTGATGATGTTCTAGCATTCGATATTGTTTCAGGTTTGCAATTTCTTCAATGTAGGAACATAAGTGTCAACATGTCTAAACGCATCGTTTCTAGAGCGGATAGGAATGGAGGCAGCATTTCTTTTTATATTGATGAAGACGGAAGTAGTACGCATGTCTTGCATGAAGATGTACCAATTGTCGCTGCTAAAGACACCGAATTAAGATGCTCTAGAGTTAATTATGTGCCTGTTGCTGTCAATATTGTTTCATGTGGTAGCAAACAGGAAAATGTTGCACATTATTTATGAAAATGCTGAACACGAAAATGTTGCATATTGCGCCACAACAACATGCGATGCGAGGAGGCTGGGACAGTATGGCCTGACTATGATCAACTATCAACGGTATTCTTCGTTCTCCGACGAATATTGTACCCACAAAAATCGGGACTTTAATTTCAACATAAGAAGGCCGTCAAATAAACAAATATTCTTGATTATAATGCCTTTGTTAATCACTAACACAGCCAAAAAACACTCTTAATGACTAAAAGAATCTACGATAGTTTCATTTACTTTGCTGTACAGCGCAACAAATAGAACACGACGTTTTCCCAGGCATTAGTATAAATAAGTCAACCACATGATTTATAATGGTCATGTCAGTTAATACAATGAAGATTAAACGCAAACATTTGATCAGTGATGGTCACATCTGTGTCACCATTTTCAGACTTCTTTCCAACACAGTACTTGATTTACATGCATCTTCGAGAGATTGGGATTTAGCATGCCCGTTTATTTTGTACGGTAACTAATTAATTTGATTATTTTCAGACATGGTACGTAACAAAGTATTGAACTGGCTCAGGAATCCAGTTGTTATGATTTACGTCCATAGTAACCCAGTGAAAATGTAAAGACGCGTCATTTTCTGATTTGGATTACCAGAAGCTAGGGCGACCCTAAATTTTGTCAGGGAATTCACCCACAGCGGCAATGAACACCCGCCTTCAGGAATGACGTCAAAACCGCGGATGCTGGCTGTTGAGGACGCATAAATCTTCTGCAAGTTTGACGACTTCATCAAAGTTCTTGTAGTCCAACTTCTTTATTTCGAGATTGAAGTGTTTCTGTATCTGCTGCAGCAGCTCCATGGAGCGCAGCCCGTCGATGATGTTGATGGCGTTTCCGGTCTTGCCAAAGCGGCCCGTGCGCCCGATCCTGTGCAGGTATGTTTCGCAGTCTGCCGCCCCGTTCAGCTCAGGCAGGTCGTAGTTTACCACCAATGTTACCTGCTCGACGTCGATGCATCTGGCCAAGACGTTGGTGCTGATAAGGACTCGTTCGCCCCCCTCCCTGTAGCTCGTCAGCACTGAGAGGCGCTCCTCTGCTGACAACTCTCCAGTGAGGAGGGTGACGTGATGGCCGTCCATAACCATGGGCGCGTGCAGCCAGTTGGCGGTCTGCTTGGTGCGGCAGAAGAACATCAACTGCCCCACAGGGATGGTGTAGATGTTGCTGATAGCCGTGTACTTGTCTTCTGCTGTGGGACACTCTATGTACATCTGCCTGATGTTGGTGAGCGTCTCCTCCTCCCTGCGCAGTCTGATGATGACTTGGTTGGGGACAATGGCTTACCTAACTGCATCACCGTGCCGTCATACGTCGCACTGAACAACATCATCTGGCACGTCCTGGGCAGCTGCTTGCGGATGCGTACTGACTGGTCCTTGTGGCCCTGCGTGGCGATCGTGACTTCAACTTCATCCAAGACAAAGACGCAGCAGTCAGCCAGCAATAGCGCTCGAGCTTTATAGTGAGCCAGTCAAGCACCTTGCCGGGAGTGCCGATCACGATGTAGTCGGTGATCTTGCTGCCTCGGGTGAGAGTTTCTCCTTTGACTGCGCACTTGATGGTAACATCAGAGCAATGTTTCCCCAACGCCATGACGGTCTGTGCAGTCTGCAGGGCAAGCTCGTAAATAGGAGACAAACACAAGGCCTGTGTGCATTTCCTGCTGGGGTCTATGCGGCTCAACAGACCCAGGCTCAATGCTGCTGTCTTCCCAGTACCGGATTGAGACTGTGCAATCAAATTCTGTGGGGGATTGGGAAGGAGAGTTGGAAGTGTAGTTTCTTTTATTTTAGAGGGAAGTTTGAAGCCCATGTCATAGATCCCTTGCAGTAACTCAGGACGAAGCTGCAGTGCCTCAAAGGTTTTGACAGCATACAAAGGAGAGTTGGGATCTTTTCATAGAACCTCAACATCATTTTTACTCTACAATACCTTTGCACAGCACCTTGCGCATGAGTTACATTTCGGCTGCAGAGGGAGCAAAACCTTCCTCTGAACCTTGCAAGGTAGCTCCTGCAGGAGGCTTAGGTGGAAGATGACCTTTAGCAGATGGAAGAGCACAATTTAGTGGAAGAGGAGAACTAGACAAGAATGAAGGAGGTGCACTAGAAGGTGGTGGAACTGAAGTGAATGGCACACTTGGAAGTGGTCTAGATGCATCTTTGGGAAGGCCTAAGTTAAGCACCTTGGAAGAAAGCTCCTCAGCCTCCTGCTCCTCTGATGCTTTGGCCCAGTCGACACTCGTTGCTTATTACTAGTATCCCAATATTATTCAATATCAGTACTTCAATTCAGAATGGATTTTATTCTCGCTTCAAGGCAATTTGTGGGCTCAGTAAAACGTGGTAAAAGGAACAGTGAAAATTTAGCTAGTTTAGTTATTGGTAATTTAGTTAACCTTGTGCACGGTGTAACCCAGGAACCTACCAGACGAGAATTAGAACCTACATCGTTAATGGCGAACCAGATATGGTTGAGGAGGTTTGCTCAACAGAATGCAAGCACAATTCGTCGGTAGTTATTAGCTGCACCTGCATATTAGAAGGAGATAGCAAAATCTGTGCGTTGGTCGATACTGGCTCGCAAGTATCACTAATAGGGCAAGGTATAGTAAAGTTTTTAGCAGAAAATAATCAGGGGTTAGAGTACGACGAAGTAGATAACAACGTAGTAGTAGTAGGAGGAATAGATGGTACGAAGACTATATTAACTCTCTACCGCCTGACATGAGTAACCGGAGCAATATTATCACAGGCCTACTTCCCAAGAAGGATACGTTCTAATGAGCGCAAATGATTTGCAGCGATAGTTGCCGCCACGTAAGGCAACTTCAAAATGTTCTCTGTCGTGTACTAACGTCCGCAGGCTGCTACACTCAATAGTTCACGTAGAATTTAAGCTGAAAGTTATGTTCCCGGTTAAAGACATGCTGCGGTAGAGGGTTAAGGGGAGCAGTCAAGTTTGAGTGTAAAATAAACGGATTTGAAATGAATGAAAAGGTACCATTCGCTATTGTGAACGATGATGATATGCCATGTTTGTTAGGAGCAAAATTTTTGATTAGGAATGAAATTCACTTACATTTTAAAGATTCATTTATCAATTTTAAGCGTAGGGACCAACAATATGTGACTTGCGCCATAAGCAAATCTTGTCAGGATAAATCAAGCTTTGTCAACCGTGTAGGATTCGCTAGCTTGGCGCTTGCTGTTTTGACAGTAACCACACAATTCCAGCCCAGAACAATCTGGTGATAACGGCAACTCAGATGGCAAAGATAATATTACTGTAAATTTTGTTTTTTTTCGCATTGTAATGTTCAGTCTATTCTGAACAAAGATTTCGCCATTAGTTCCCCGAAAAAGATACTGCTATCAAAAGAGCCCGTACAGTTTTTGAAGCAAAATTGTTTAAGATTTAAGCGGTATCGCAAGAATTTGTCAGTGAGATCCGGAATTGTGGTGAGGAAGCACAACCTTTCTTATGTGCCTGTTTTGCCATTTATGTTCATGGTAGATATAGTATTCAAGCTTCATAATCAGCTAGCCCATATAGGTATTCAAAAGATTGGTAAAATAGTAGAATATTTCTGCAGCATCCGACTGTTAATTCTATTGTACGCGGTAAATATTCCATGGATTTTCAGCATATTGTATCAGCAGTAGGCCGAATTGCGCTCCCAAGCTAACATAGTAGTAATTTTTTGACTTGTCTTGAACATGTAGATTGCATATACTAAATTAGTAATTATGAAATGTAAATGATATGATGACAGCGATACACGTTAATGTACATTTTCTGGGTAACTGAACTATCACAAGTCTAGGTTGAAATTTCTTTCGTATCGCTGGATGACTTTCGGGCAAATTATTAAAAAGGGTAACTGAACTATCACAAGTCTAGGTTGAAATTTCTTTCGTATCGCTGGATGACTTTCGGGCAAATTATTCAAACTTGTTTGAATAATTTGTGAAAAAAGTGGTTTATCTGTAATCACTTTAATTAATAGGGACCGCTTGCTTGTATATATATAGCTGTTAATTGTGTTCTCAATACAGCGGTGTTAACTGTGTGTGTGTGTGTGTGTGTTAGGATGATTAGGTAATCAGAATGTGCTTAACCTTTTTGTAAATAATGTACTGAAGCTGCGAAGCGTGATAATTCGTTTTTCGCGTGGATATAAGTATCCTCTGTTGGGGGAAATGTTATGATCGGCATACCGTATAATAATTATTTGTTTGTTTGAATCCGTATTTATCCTGGTTCTGAAATTTTCTGAGCTCTTCTTTAATTTTCTTTATTTTCTTAACGTATTTTTCTAAATTGTTAGTCAGACTTAGGAACTGAACAAATGGTTCAGTTGGTTCAGTTCTTGGGAGAAGGACGCGTCAGTCGTTAGGTAGGTAGAATATTTCGAATTATCGATAGGATCATAGGAGTTAGTCAGTTAGTGGATGCCGAATTCAGGAAGTCGTAAATGCACAGTGTAATGAAGTTAATGAGTTCACCGTCAAAAATTACTGTGTCGTGTTCTTATCCTCAAAAGGCAGTGCACTACCAAAACTATACGATTACATAAGGTTTTTATGAAGTGGTAGCCACGTATTGATGACGGCAGCGTGTGCGCCACGATAAAAGGACTGAACCAGGGCTTATGTGGGCCGAACTGGGATTGGAATTATGATTGCCAAATCGTTTATTTTATCTTGACCAGAACAAATATTTTGTTGCCGGCATTCTCGTTTACATATTACCTGCTTTCGAGTGTAATTAACCTGGTATTAAATGAATGCTTGTCCCGAAAAGCTCTGAGCCTCTGCCCAGTCTCCTTATAATTAGATTATGTTTGAATTAGGTGACGGAACCAAATACATTATAGCGAGTTAGGAGAATTAAATAGATGAAGTGATCTTTGCGCTAAGCATAAAGATTTAATTTAAAATTATTTTTTATAATATGGAAAAAATAATACCTGAACGCTTGCCCAAAATTTGATTTATAAACATTTTAACCAACACGGTGCTAAAAAGTGTGAAGCATGAGACGCATTATTGCACTGCAGTATCTTTTTCTTTAACCACTATTTCTCAAGTCATCATAAAAGTATTGGTGTTCTGAGCAAATCGTGTAGGTGAAAATCCATGGAATATTTGTCGATTAATGTCAATAGTTGTAAAATAAATTGAAGATTTGTTCATAAATTCAGAGCTTCGAAGGCCTTCCTGTAACAAGGATTCTGCGATCAGCCGATTGATCCTTATAGATTTTTGATGTCGGTTAGATTCTTCCGACCACAGATTAAAACCTTCTCACTTTCCATCGTTGGAATTGATGCTTGAGTAAAATGTTTGGAAAAATGTTCGAAATGGACATTATTTTGCTACTGATGCGTTTTGCTTCAAACGTTTTATTTATTTTAGGGCCGTTTTATTTATATTTTAATCTTGGAATAATGTCCGTTGGAGTAATGATCCCTTTAATTATCTTGAACGCAACATGCACGTGAAAAAATTCTCGTACGGTTTCAAGTTTTTAATAAACGAACTAAATTTTACAATTTGTTCCCTTGTTACTCCCATGTGTAAAAAAAATTTCTTGGGCGGCATTCTTAATTATTTGTTCTTATAACCGATCTTCACATTTAATTAAACTATCTTTCCAGCGTTCATCGCAATATCAAATATCGTAACCGTGCCGTGGTCTCGTTAATATTCCTTGCTGCAGTCCCTCCCTCATTGCACTGGGGAACAGTTCACTCGTCTTTTAGTCTCGCTCTCCATTTCCTTCAATGATCATTTATAAAGTCGCCGGCAATTTAATTACCGCGAACTTTGATATAAAAGCGGTGACGTGCTTCATTAGAACGTGTTCTGCTGAGTGAAGTAATACGCAATTTTGTAATTATTAGTGCATAATAAGAGGAAGAATTCGATTTGAAAAACTCATGGCTCAATTCCGCTTAAAAACTTTTCGCTTTATTTAGCATAAGCTATTCTTGACATGAAAAAGTAGTTTACGTTAACACATTCGAAGGTAACTGGAAAATTGCTGCTGTTCAATTGGGCAATTGGACTTGATTCATACGACTAAGCATAGCTTCGTAAATACCCTAAAAGTAATGTGCAACCTATATAATGATAAATTTATATATGTTCTGCACAAATGAATTCGTGCCGCAAAGATTATTCCACCAATATCCAAATTTTAGAATTTCACGTTTTTCACAGTTTGTAATGCTATTTGCAGCGACGCTTACGAAAATATTTTATCTATCGAAAGTTTTCATTGACTCGGTCAAGGAGTTTGTGCTCAATCTGTTGAAGAAAAAGTTCCGATCGATGAATTTTTCCTAAAGAATTTGGACGAAATTTCGAAAGAGGGAGAGGGCATGTGTTCCCCCTTTGTAAAAGAAGGAAATTTTTCAATGGGATTTGTTGGGAGGCCTGGCGAGTTGTTTAAAGTTTCTGACATGGCTCAATACCGCTTAAAATCTTTCCGCGTTGTTCAGCATGAAGTTGTTATTGACCTGAAGAAGTAGTTTACGTTAGCACGTTCGAGAGCGACTAGAAAATTGCTGTTGTTTTCTTCAAAAATTGTATAGCTTTTGAATTCGATTGGACTTTATTCCTAAGACTAAGCCTAACTTCGTGAATATCCTAATAGAAATGTGCAACCTACATAATAATAAACTTTTATATGTTCTGCACAAAATGAATTCGTGCCGCGAAGATTCATCCACCAATATCCAAGTTTTAGAATTTCATGTTTATCACAAGCTATTATGATATTTGCAGCGACGCTTGCGAGTATATTTTAAATATCGAAAGCTTTCAATAACTCGGTCAGGAGTTTGCCCTGAGTCTCTCGAAGAAAAAGTTTTGATTGACGAATTTTTCCCAAAGATTTAGGAGAGAATTCGAGAGAGGTAGAAAGCATGTGTGCCCCCTTTGTAAAAGAAGGAAATTTTTCAATGGGATTTGTTGGGAGGCCTGGCGAGTTGTTTAAAGTTTCTGACCTTTATGTTGTGCAACTTAAGCGAAGCTGATCGTGAAGGTTTGCTGGAACCACATCGCCCCCAAGCCTGGCATTTTTGGCTCCGTTTTGCCGAAACGTGCGTTATGGGCTCAACTGCATTGTGCCCAAAACAACGGTTTTTTGTT